CGTTTTCGCACGGTAGGACAGGGTTCAAACCCTGCTTTTGAAATTTTGTTTTCGATTTATATTTCAGGTTTACTTTTAGGTTCCTGAAATCCTGCAATGGATCCTGTAAAAGCACTTCGGCACAATTCCGACCGACACGCAATTGCAAAAAGAAAAGGAAGGTGCAATTCAATAATAACGCACTCGCGACTATGGCTTGAAACGAAGAGGGGAAATACGGAAATTCGTCTCGTTCAACAGGATTATGTGATATCGTGATCATATACTGTGATAATTTTTAATGTGTTGATGCATTTATTGCTGTGATTGTTGTATTACCCTCATTACGCTGCGCGAGAAATGAGGGATGTATAAAGAGTTAACGTGTTGTTAAGTTCTGACGAAAGAGCCTATTTTATGGCTCTTTCGTGTGATACCATTCGATCGGGACAGGGTTTGGGGAGGTGCTACTGTTTCTGCTTAAGGGGTGAAGTTTTTTGGTGGGTAGAGGAAGGCTAAATTCGTTTAAATTCTCAAAGTTTGAGCACCTCGCCACCCTGGTTTCGGCAGCAATCTGCGACCTCTGCACTTTTTGGTGTTAGTTGTCTGCAGTTGCAAGCCGAACTCGATCGAGAGGTGTCACCAAGGCCAGCTGTTCGCGAAACGGAGATCGGGACCCGTCTAGCGAACAGCTTGGCCTTTTTCCCCCTTTGTCTGAAAATAGAGGTAAATGGGAGCCGTGACGCTCGATGTTACAAAATTTGAAAATCGCGCCTTTTCCTCAGCCGCTCCAAAATTCAAGAAGTTCACAAATGCGAACCGAATTTTACCGATTTTGACTATGCATTGCTGTCGCCCTGAACAGTTCATTGTGTTCGCTTTTCTTGCTGAGAGTTGATAATTCAAACGTTCCATCTTGCTCTATTACGATCATCCGAACCATGTAAAACAGTTATTATTCCGGAATAAATGCTTTATAGATGAGTTGCTCCATCGATTTTGTTCGAATTTAGTGAGTAGGATGCAAAGACGAAAAGTCAACAGATATGTGCACATGTATATATGTATTTATGAGAACTGGCTAAAAGAGAGAATGCTCCTGGGTATAACCCTAGATGCTACCCTCTATTGGCAACGTGTCGATGCCGGACTCTGGCGAAATATGCATAAATTTTTTTGCTCTGTGCGAATTGTCATTGAATTTCTGGAGGAGTACAGCTAGACTTTATGAATAAGGAGGTTGGGGATATGGAGACTGATAAAAGAAAATGGAAAATTTCATATTTCTTTGCGATACTTTCAAGCTGTTTCTTCGAATTACATTTGTGCAGCAAAGAAAGGATAAGGGAAGTAATTTTGAAGGATGTTTTATGTGCTTTTTTTGCTAATCTATTTATTTATTCATTTATTCGTTCAGCCGTTATGAAGAAAAGCCTTTTCAGTGGCATGATTAGCATTGATGTTTATCACTGATTTCAGTTCAATTTCTTATGCGTTGTTTATTTTGTTAAGTCGGAAATTCATTTGAATTTCAGTTTTCAGTGCTCTTTTCTATTCTCTAATCTACTTGACTGCATCATGAGCTTCAACTTACTCTTGCGGTTAGTACAGTTTTGAAGGGAAGTAAGGATATCCACTATCATGATAGCTTAATGCAAATTTGAGTTTCAATATTATTGAACTGTTTTATTGATATTGAATAAACGTGTTGATCAATTGTTAATAGCAGTAACCTCCGAATGATCTGCCTATTGCCAGATCTTGTTTGAAAATATGCTCGTGTTGGAGATCGTTCTTAAAATGTATTGAACTAATTACGGAGTATTTGTTGAGGAGACGGCACTAAAAGTTGAACAATTCGATTATGTTCTTAACAAGAAGTGAGTACGATCGTGGTGTCAATACATTCTCACCAGAAGGACGTCTTTTCCAAGTTGAATACGCTATTGAAGCTGTTAAGGTAACGCATTAAGCCGTAATTTTTCTTTTAAATAGTTTTTCCGTGCTGCCACTATTCGCAAGCAAAATGTTTTCTCATTGATAGGTATTGTTGTCGAAGCAAGGACTTCTTAACACTCAAGAATCACTACTGTTTATTAGTAACTGCATGATTTGAATTGCCATCTCAACTAAGACGTACAGATGTCATTTCCTTTTATTTTTTAAATCACTAGTGATGCTTCTATTAAGCCGTAATTTTTCTTTTAAATAATTTTTCCGTGCTGCCACTATTCGCAAGCATTCTATTAAAGTGATGCTTCTGCTACAGCAATGCGATGATGATATTTTCTTAGGCATCCAAGCAAATAGGTTGATGTATATGTTCATATTAGCGTGTCCACACCACTGTGAAGTTTCTTTCGTTCAGCTTGGATCAACCAGTATAGGCATACGTACAAACGAGGGTGTCGTGTTGGCGGCTGAAAAACGTGCCACATCGAAGCTGATGGTAAACGATGCCATCGAGAAGATCTCGAAAGTTGACTCACACGTCGCCGTCACCTTTGCGGGTTTGATTGCCGATTCACGAACGTTGGTGGAACGTGCGCAAATCGAAGCGCAAAACTTTTGGTTCACTTATAATCGTAAAATTCGTGTGGAAGATGTCACAATGTCAGTGGCGAATTTAGCGTTACAGTTCGGTGATGACGATGTTAAAGTAAGTGCGTTATAGTGTGGCATGTGGTGTTTGAAATTTGTTTTGGAATTCAAACTGTAAAAATTTATCGATGTCAGATGCCTGTTCGGTTCCATTTCAGATTCATTTTGCAGGCTTCGATGTCTCGTCCATTCGGTGTAGCAATGCTTTTTGCTGGTGTTGATCAAGAAGGACCTAAACTGTAAGTGGATGCAGGATGTTTCTTCGAATCCTCACATTCTTATTTAGTGTTTAACAGAATTGAGTACTTTAATAAATTGTTGCTTGGAAAACTTAAGCGTGAAGTGTTGGGTCTGAGCCCGTTGATGACGCTCACAATCAGCGAATGATCAAAGTTGAGCATAGCATTGAAATATAATTGTTAGAAATTCTCATACTAGATTATCTTCACATATTTTAAGTACTGATGTGAAAAAGATTCATCTGTTTATTTGCATTGATGAATAATTCTCAGTTCTTCTTGAATGATCATTCAAGATTTTGAGTATATTTTACCCTAATGCATGCTCATGGCCCTAACGGATTGATGCATTCAGATTCCATCTGGATCCATCTGGGACGTTTATCGATTGTTTAGCGAAGTCGATTGGGGCAGCTTCAGATGGTGCTGAACAAAACTTGAAGGAGCAGTATCACGAAGTTGGTTCATCTCTGTTTGTTCTGTGTGAAAGTGTTATATGTGGAGAAGATTTACAGTTACTGATCTTGCAATTTTGCAGTCAACAACGTTAGTTGAAGCCGAGAAGATAGCTCTGTCGATTCTGAAGCAAGTTATGGAAGAGAAATTGACTAGTTCGAATGTTGAAATCGTTACGATCACACCAACCACTGATCAAAACGGTTGCTCCTTATCATGATTGCTTTCTTTTCATATCTTGAATATTACTTTTAAAAAAGACTCACACACTCAGTTTCATTGGTGAGTACTTCTCAGTTTTTTCTAAAATCCATTTTACGAATAACGGCATTATTGTCAATGTGGTTATCAGTATTGAGTAATTGTAACATTATTTGTTTTAGGTCGTAAGACGGGCAAATTTGACCGATTAACAAAAGAGCAATTGGATGTACTTGTTGCGGATTTGTGATGTGTGCATTGAGGAGTTTGCATGATTCATGTTGTTATATAATTTATTGTATGGTTGATTATTATGTTTCGTGCTCCCTCAGTGATAATCAATTTCCGTGTTTTTATTCGTTTCTAAATTCTGCTATTGTATTGTTCCATCAACAAATCTCGACGTCCTCGTATAAATTTCTTCATTATTTTTCTCGAACTTGATGACAATACCACATTGTGATACATAAACAATCAAACACTCTCAAATTATGCGTGCAACTAAATGAAATGCTTGGTATTGTGGTTCATGAACGTGAATGGGTAGACATTAATTTGAAGTAAACGTTGGTCTAGCTGCTAGAGACTCTTGGAATTAGAGATGAGCTAAATGGTATTTGAAGTAATCTCCTGATTTCGTAGAGTCTGAGTTGATCTCACATCAGTCCGAACTGATTCTTTGTTCTAGATAAAAATGGCTGTGTAGTTTGATGAATACACTGAAGAGCATGCCACAAAAAAGGAACACAACCAGCAAAACATGATGAAAGAAATGTTTCGTTGGCTTCTCCAATAGCACATCTTCGTTTGATTACGGCTGTTTGCACAAATTTTAAGTTGATATTATCAGTGATACAATTGAAAACAGTTGAATTGAATTGCTGTTATACCACACTTGAGATGAGGTCTGTTGAGCAGTTTGACACAAAATGCTGTCTACTACATTTCTATGCTTAGAAAAAAATTTAGTATCGTCCCATTGACCAGCTGTATATACTTCTGCATTATGTCTGCGTCGTTAAAGTGTGCTATAGGTAAGTGTTAAAGAAGTCTAATTGAAGAGCTCTTGTACTCTAAACTTATGTTGTATTAGTCAAACTGGAAACATATTTTGACTCTATTCANTCAGTTCGATAGGGGTCGAGATTGAAATCATCATAGTGCATATCATTTGCAATTGAGGGGTAGAACATCCTTTCATTTCAGTGAATCCGAGCTGCTCAAACGTTCATGTAGTTTCGATAGGACGAGAATGTCTACTGGAACTTAAATGCTGTTCATGTCATCACTCGGAATCTTAGGTGACGTTGAACTGAACAAAGAATCCGATTACATTGATCACTCCGAAATTTCACGTGAAGTTGAGCATAACAAGTTCATGCCACCACTAAAACAATCGTTTCTCGCAGTCGAAAACACTATCAGACGGCTATCATTGCAACAAAAAAGTTTGTAAATAAATGTTACATAGGAACGAAGAAAAGAAAGAATTTGGTTGCTACTGAAATGGTTGGTAGCGATTGGTACAGTTTCGAGGCTTCTTCAGCGCTACTACGAAAACAACCCAGTTATACAACTCATAAACTGACTGACTTTTTTTGCTTAATAATAATGGTTTGATTTTGACGCACACGGTCGTGAACGAATTTCAAAGTCCAATTATCAGAGGGTCGTAAACCTCGTTCGAAGTCACACATCGTAACGTCAAACGGGTGGAATTTACAGTCTATCATCGTGTGGATTGATGAACATTCAGTTTACACAGTTGACATGCACGTGATTCTTTTGTTGTCCATAGCGTCATTTATAGCAGAAAGCAGGTGCGCACTACAGTAACCAGTTTGTGAAGAAAAAGCGTGTAATGCAGTATACAGTAAGATGCAATCTTGTAGGGTTGACAACAGTGTAAAAGCCATTTTAAGGTTAATTGTTACAGATTTTCGGGAAGAGCTGAACATGAATCAAAGTTTAGTCCAAGCTTGACTCTTGATTCAGGCCTCTAGTGGTCTAGATAACCAATATCGAGCCTCAAGTGGTCAAATTCGAATTTTTCTAGTGACGGTCAAGTGAACTGACATGATCAGATATATATTGTGGTCAACAGCCTATGTTTACTTCATTGACGTTAGATGTTGGAAACGCATTGTTCATTAGTCAGTTTATGAATATCGCAAAATGTTTCACGGTGGACATCAAGCTTGCCTGAATCAGTGGACGTGAACATCAACCACCTGATTGAGTAGGTGCTGTCTGTTCTCAGGAAAACATACCATTTGTAAAAAATTTGAAACATTCAAGTGAAACAATTTTGATCCTCGATTCTCTTTGATCATCGCTTGAAACACTGTTAATCATTCCTCATGAACGGAAATATCTTAAGAGATTTTCTGCATGAAATATGTAATCGTCAGTAATATCGTTGCACTTGTAAGCATCTTTGCAGTTTTATCACTTCATTAAATCGTCATTGAATGTGTACGATATGTGTTGTCTATAAGTGTGCATATTTTTGTGATATTGTTATTGTCGATTTCGAATGATAATTTTATTGCGTTGAAATGACTTTTTTCTGCTCTTCATTAATTGACTATTAAAAAAAGATATCAGTAGTCGTTCTCTTTTCGCTCGTCTCATCACCTTATCAGTTGTTTTATAAGCACTCCATTGTTGTATATTGACTTCAGTTTTGCTTACATCATAGCTATGGGTATTTTCCTATCCATATGTATCAATTATAAATATCATTTAGCATCTACGTGTTTCCTCTGAGTATATTCTCTTATCAATTACTCGTCTTGAGGATTATCAATTAATCGTCTTGAGGAAAATCTTTTAAAATAGATCTGCTATGATATTGGGCAGTAGAACGTCGCTTTATGTGATGATTATTGCTGCCTAGAATGCCATATCAGACAATCTCATTCATGACTTATTAACTGGAACAATCTCATGGAGACGATGGCTTTGTTCACATGATTTTTGCGATGTAAAAAGTTCGTTTTATGGCATTAAGCTGGTTTTTTCGCTTCTTGAACGATCAGCATGCATTTTACGACGACGAATATTCGCCGCATTAATTCGCTCTCACAAAAACTTTCCACACTTTGCTCCCACATAATTCATCAATGACACTGTTTGCGAGTGATTCTTCACGATGTTCACAATGTTTCCGTGTGCATGCAGTGTTTCCAAGCGTTTTCGCGCTCCTCTCATAATCTCTTTATGTATTTTAGCTTAAAACGTTACCGATATTGTTCTATACCGAATTTCTTAACGCTGAATTTCCTGATGCAGAAGCGCAATTTGTTGCATATACATGAGAGTTTGTTCATTCATATTGTTGATACGAAAAATGTTTAGTTGTTGCTTAGTGAGCACAACTGAATGTAGATAGTTGATGATGCAATGAAATATTTCAAGAAGTTGAAGATGCTTGCTGAACAGCAGCAAAAACAGCAATCGTTGAGTCACACTGTGTGCTTAGAGGCACGAACGTTACCGACCAAAAGTGTGATTGTGTATTGCGATCGAGCTGAAGTGAAACGCATCGTGAGGTGTAACTTGCAAGAAGGTCGCAATGAAATCATCGTCAAGGTGAATCTTATTGCTTTTGGATTTTCGTTCACGTTCGTTCATTCCTTTTTTTTTCGTCATTTCCCACATCAACTCACATGCTTCACCGTAACAGACCGATACGGTGAAGAATGTGTGATTTGCTGACAATGAGATTGCGAATTCTTTCCTCACTTATTTGTATCAATCAGCCGGAAACTGTAAAAGCACAGAATATCTAGTAGCTATCGGTCGTAGTCGAATGCAGAAGCACGCTACTCGATAACTGCCCGGTACCAAATGGTACCACCACAAAATATTTCTCATGAACGCGTTATCGCGTTTTGAATGCATCTTCAGCAAATGTTTATTATGTGTGCGCTGATGAGGATTTACATCTGCAAAAGTTGCATAGTAGTCAGCAACCATAAAGATCATATGCATTCACTGTATCTGAAGGAAAACAACTTCTTATTCGAAAAAATTCATGAGAAAAAATTCAGAACATTGCTGGTTCAGTGTTTTGCAACATTGTTTATGTCATTTAAACTGTCATTGCTAAGCATTCTTGCTCTCATTTTGATTGCGAAATTGTGCTCATGCATAAAATCACTGGCTAAGCGAAAGTAATTTAATCACTGGCTAAGCGAAAGTAATCTAAGAGTAATCTGCCTTTGAGAGTGATTCACCCATTTTGTCTTTTTTGGAAAATAAAATGAAATTGAATGTTCTACAATATGAAAACAGCATCGTAAACTCATTCAGGCTGTTGACAACCAGCTCTATAAACAAGCGTGATTCTGTTATTCAACTGTGTTCATGTTGTTGTTCTTGTCAGTTGAGTATGCCCCATAAAAGTCACTGATAGCAATTGTGATTTTATCAAGTGAACCAAATGAATCTAATGCCCCTCACAGACCACGTTCGTACCGTATTACCATTCAAAAAACACTGATACCAATTCATCAACCGATCTCTCAGATTGGAAAAACGATTAAATAATTTCATTCAATGATATACAGCAAAAGGACAACATCGTTTGCAGACAGATTTTTCCGTCTGAGCGAAATTGATTTCGCATGAAATATTTTTGTCATGGACAAATGTTTTTTCTTGGAATGTTCTTTCGGATTTTTACGATCTGCTTGAGATGATCAAACGTTTCGTGCAGTTCTGCTCGAGATTCGAGCAAAACAATAGAACGTATCGGAAGAAAATTCTTTTTCATTCCAAAATAATGAATGACAGTTTATTGAAGAGAGTAAATTTGCTGAATTTGGATGATGGAATTTTTTAAGAATGTTTCATCGGTGATTGAAAGGCAATCGCTCAGAGTTGATGGCCATGGCAAAGCACAGATCCTAGACGTTCTCTATCAAGAAGTATCGCTCGATGTGAATTCAGACGAGAACGATAAGGTAATCTGCAATCAGATGATCCTCTTTCAGTAGCAACTGAGCATTCTCACTTCCCGGACCTTGCTTATTTTTTGACTTCGCCTATATTCTCATTTTAAAGAATACTTCATAAAGACCATTGTGTCGAAAAAAAATAATGGAATAGCTGATCCTCGAACAATGAAAATTCATACGAAGTTTGCAGATTGTTGAGCTTGAAGATAGCAAGAATGAATTAGAGGCAGAAAAAGCATCACTTGATGATCAGTTGAATATACTGAGGAAACGAGTCGAAGTGCTTGACGGTGTTGCATCTCAGGTTCGTTGCTGCTGGCTTCAGTGCACAAATGCTTGTTCATTTGATTGCGTTTTTGTGAATAGTGAATAATTACCTGATAAAACACTACAGATTCGTTGCAATACCAAAAGGTCATTTCGTCTGCATAAAATAATGTTGTTGCTGGCTGGATGTTGTGCTTTCGTAGAAATAATCGTGAAATTTAACTGATTGAATGGATAACTTTTAGATTGGCAGCAATATGTCACCATCACTAAATCCGTCACAGTCATCCTCCTCTTCGAACACAAATCAACTGACAGCCTCACCCAGCAACATCACCAATCCGACGTTCGTAATCAACGAAAACACAATTGCCAATTTAACTAACTTCCTCGATTTTTACGGTACGATATACTTTTTCTAAAACATCTCACCAAAAAATTGGTTCTAAATACACTTGTAAAGATGCGATTCTCATGGTATTGTTCGCATTCATAAATAGAGATATGTAACAGTTGAATTCATCTGTTCATTTCAAGCTGCTCTCAAGATGGCATTTGAAGCGCACATGCAGCAAATTAATAACAATTGAAATAGTGTTGCTTCAGGGCAAACAACTGGCGAACTAAAGGCAGAAATACGTAAGAAGACAAGGGAAGTGGACCGCTTAGTTCAAAAGATCGATCGACTCGAGAAACGAATCGATCAAATGCGATGTGGTTTTGAATACGATAGCGTTAAACGGTTGGTTGGTCATTTAATCTTGGGAAAACCAGCAATTTTGAGTAATTGTCATGATCAGTGTAATTGAATGAAAATCTGTCATTTGCATTGGCATCTCCCAAATAACACACAATGAAGACTTAAAACTACCTTATCATTGAATGCTCACAATTATCGCAATTCAAAATTGGGATTTCGTCTGAAAATTCACTGGCGTATCCTGAAAATTCACAAATATGCGTGGTTGTTTTTGCTTCAGAAATCTGAGCATCATTGTTGAAACGGATGTGGCTGAACCATCAGAATTTCATGTCACTTATCAAGTCTATTGTGCGAATTGGAAACCGTGCTATGATCTGCGTGTTCTTAGCGCATCCCACGAACAACAAACGACTTCTCTGACGGTAATTTAGTTTTAAAAATATTAGAAACTTCAACTGAACTGCTCATCTCATCACTGCATAATGCAGTGCAAACGATAAATTGATAAATTTGAATATAGATGAGCTATTTTGGCGTTGTCGAACAACACACTGGTGAAGACTGGAGAGATGCGGAGATTGTCCTGAGTACCGCAATACCTAGTGTTGGTGGCTCAGTACCATCGTTGCCTACAGTCGCAGCTGGTTTTCAGTTTAAGAGGTATTCGACTTGTTCAGTTCATGGAGAATGCTCTTTTATGGGATACTTCCTGGAAATTACTGAAAAAAGAAAGAATCAGAAACCATTTATGCTCTATTTGAAGAGGCCAAACGAATGCGTCGTTGAGGAGGAAACCGAATAGTACGCCGAGTGATGACGATTTGGGTTTTGGCTCATTCGACTACAACGATCTGACGGATGCTGGAGCTTTACAACGATTAACGGCTGCGTGTGGAGCACAACCGAATTCCGACTTTGATTCCTCAACAATCACTGTAATCATTTGTCAATCTTTACTTGCCATGTTGCTTTGGTTGTTTTCGATTGCAAACTATATCTGGATGCTCTTTTCGATGAAGCGCTGAATAAAGAGAACATGTTGAATACAGGGAGGTTTTGCCAGATTTCAAACATGCTTGTTTCGGATTACATCCAGACAGCAGATCATTACGAATCGCCGTTTGAGACATCGTCATATCAGTTATGCGAAAGCGTTTACTGAAGCCTTCTTCGTGATACATTGCAGAAATACGATCGCTGTCCATCGATTTGTTTCGCAATCGCATACCCGGCCACTATTCCATGCGATGGCTCTGAACAAAAACTTCCAATAACGAAATTAGAATTGAACGCCAAATATATTCATGAGACAGTACCGACACGTGTTGCGGCTGCATTCTTAACAGTTCTAGCCACAAACACGTCAACGTTACCCATACTGGCTGGACCAGCATCCGTTTACCTGAACAACAGTTTCGTTTCAAAGGTTTGTCTCTCTGTTGCATCGTCGAACCTTTGATATCATTGTCAAGTATTTTGCTCGAATACTGGCTGAGAGAAGAAAGATGCATCTGACAAATGGAAATGCCATTGCTTTTAAATGTCACCACAATGTCATGATTCCTTGTGGAGCACTACACGAGATAGATCTAATCAGTTCATTGAATGTTGCTGCATTAGTCCGTTGTCGTTTGCAGAAATGCAAAAACTGTTCCATAGATGTGATGAAATGTTAAATGGTTTTTGCTTGGTTGGCAATTTTATAAAGGAAGGAAGATTTGCTTGCTTACAGATGCAACTAGGATGTGTACTCCCTGGCGAGGAATTCTGTTGCAGTCTCGGAATTGATCCGTCCATTAAAGTTGAATATAAATCGGCTAAAGTTCTGAACGAACAAGTCCGTAATCGCATATTTCCTATCTTTTTTTTCCATATTACTTACAAATGGTTTCTTAAAAATGGATTTTTATAAAACAGTTCAAATGAAACTGATGTGTTATATTCGAGTTTTTTTTTGCTCTCCAGCTCGTCAATTTTATTCTCTTAATCTTGTAATCTTAATTTTTTTTGGTAATCTTAAAAAGACACGAAATTGAGCTAGTAGCGTGCGTTGTGCTTGCAGATTGGTTTCGTTTCAAAGTGTGTTCTGCAAACTCACGATCAAGGTGTAATTGTGAGAAATGCGAAAGTGAACGAAGAAGTTGAACTGGTTGTTCGAGAGCATATTCCAAAAGCAGTTGACGATAAGATTAAGGTGATCAATCGTCCAAAATTCCTAAAGTTATTTGCCAGAAGCAGTTTTAGGCTCTGATTTGAACTCTTTTTTTTGAACAAAAATAAAGTGATTCTGTAAAATGGTCCGTCCTCAAATTTGAAAACTTCACACTGATTGTGAGCAATCGACAAACAATTGTGAGCAATCGACAATTGTTGGCAATTGATTGGTGATCGTGTTTACGATTGTGTTGTCGTTTTGATCGTAGAAATCAGCAAATTTCTATTGTTTATTCTTTCTCAATAAAACTTCCTAAAGAACATGAATTCTAGGTAAGCCGTCCATTACGTCTCGCAATGTGAATGGAACGTGCGAAATTGTTTTTTGTTGCAGTGGCGGTAAATCAGTGTGAGTTGAAATCGCAATAATACGCATAATGAGGTTGATATTTGTGGATTAAGAAAAGCTGTTCGTTCTCATCACAACCATATTCGTTAGTGATAACTGTTCACGAAACACATCGAACAAAGAACATTCGCACGTTTCAAAACATTGTAATTTGTTAATATTCATATTGATTGCAAGCTTATGATATGAACACCTACCTACCTCTCTTATGAAATAATTGAACTGGGATGAATTACTGTGGATTACTGTGAACATAGCTTATGGGTCAACGTGCGTTGCTGTAGCCCGTGCACCTTTACTTACTCATAGACTAGATATTTAATCGCATTACTTGGAGATGGCAAATGTTCATCAATTGTAGAAGAAGAACATAAAATCGAATTTCATTTGGGGAAATGAGTGAGAATAATTTTCCAACGAATCCATCTTTGCATAGATGGAGATTGCATCTTAACTCAAATTATGATCGAAGTGTTATGATGGCCTTGAATTTACTCTGTTCCACGAAATTTTCCTGCGGAGATGCTGATTTCTTAAGATTTGTTCTCGGGACTGCACAAATTTCTAAAATTTTACTTCTTACTTCCCCAAATGTGTGATCCTTTCCCACTTTCGACCCAACAAATCGATAAAACATGAACTATTGCCCTGAAAAGTGGAACCGCCAAGATTTGAAACGGTTCTGCTGTTGTGCAGTGTCATTTCTGTTCGAACCGTATGGTTCCGATCTGCTTTCAGGTCAGCATTCTCAGTCCTGATTTACGTCAATCGAATGTGGATGCCTATCTGAATGTGGACAATAATCTGGAATGGACCGTAGTGCTTCAGCCAGGTGAACAACGTGATCTTCACATCAAATGGTCAATTGAATATCCGATCAACGAAACTGTCATCTACAGAAAACTTTCCTCAACTATCTACAACTGAAATATTCTTTATTGAAGCGACACGCTGAAATATTCTTTTGAACGCAAGTATTCCTTCCAACACCGTATATTCAAGCGGAAGGCTCTCGTCTTGACGACTGAGAATCTCTTTCAGATCGAAACTACAAAGCATATCCAATAATGTATTGATGCGGAGAGACATAATTTAGTGCTTCCTTGTTTCGATAAAGCGAAGTTATAAAATTTGCCTTAATTTCACTTGACTGTGAGTATAGAGATGAAGCAATTGAAACATGGCATAATTCTTGCGCCTTGATTGAGAATCGCAAGTTTTGCGGAAAGACAATAGTTTGGTTGAGCTGGATTCATAAGAGAACCCCTGCAGCATTTGCTAACACCACCAATAAATAACAGAATTCAGCATTCAACGGTTCGTATTCGTTGCTATTTGATGAAGCAGAATTCGAAATTGAGATTCATTCCTTTTGAAACATTCAAAAATCAGATGAGACGAGAGCGCATGATCGATGTGCGTATCGTTGTCGTTCAGTTTTNTTTTGACGTGTGTTGTTACTGTGCGAATTTGTTTGTGTATGTTTGCTTGACTGTGAATCATAGATTTTTGTTGTTCGTCAAACGGACCGGAAACTCAATATTTTACTTGTGTATTTTTGTTTCATCGATGAATGCGCTTCCACTTTTTTGCTTGTTTTTACTCCATTCTTCGGAGTTTTCTTTATTTCAACAAATTCCATGGTATTTGAACCATATGCCAGTCAAAAAGATATGTTGGATAAATGCAAATGGTCTTTTCACTAGAGTCATCTAAGGATCGTAAACAAGACTTCACAATTCTCATTGATTTACGATGCTCAACTGAAATGTTATTTAAAGGAAATTGCTCTCAGCAAAAGAGCGGTTGAAATAAGCGTTTTATTTCTTCCAGAACATATTCAAATATCCATAGTTAGTTGGAGTAGACAAAAATGATGTGGGAAGAAGCGTTGACGATTGACGCGATCGCATTGTTGATTTAACTTTTCCGTTGTATTTGCAGGCTTGAAAATGTAATTTTTGAATAATTCTCACTGTGATTACGCCTCTGTGAGGCGTATTACTACACATTCATTGCTTTCTGTTGATGCTAGCTAACCAAACAAATCGGAATTCGGCTATGTACTGAACGAACGAACGTTTCGGTCCGAATCTGACCGACCGAAACATTTCGGCAATTATCGAATCTGGGTAATTGGTGAAAAATTGTTCAAGCCGAACATTGTTCAATCAGAATGTTCAACCGATTTGTTTCCGTTGGGAATCAGAACTGAACGTTGGCCGCTGAATTTTATCGTCACAATTGTTCGATTCATTTCTTCTTGAATATCATCCAATGAATATATCATGACAAAACCTACAAATAATAAAATGTTGCTCAAGGGAAGTCATTCATTGCAGCAGTGCAGTTTTTCGAATGCTACAA